AAAAGAATATTACATTAAAATATTCAATAGGATTTTATAAAAAAAATTGGTTTAAAAATACTATATAATTTTTGCAGACAAATTTGCCTGCACCTACCCAACGTACTAAGAGATAATTACATTTAGAATAAATCCGGACATAAAAGCATAGTAAAGTATATGTGGATGTCAATAATACAGTTTATGTAGTATGTAGATTAAGTAACTCTTGATTTATTACATTATTCTTAAAATCGATCTTCTTTATTTATTATTTAATACAGTATTTTCTAAATAGTCATACATATTTGTTGTGTTTGTAACATATATATTTAAACTTTTCATAATAATTATTTTATTGTAGTAAGAATGAATTGATTGTTTATTATAATTCATATTGCATACTGCTTATTTTTGTCACTAGTAAACTATGTTATATTTGATCTTTTTTTATCAGCAAGCTATATTTCCATAATTAGATGATATACTCTTATCATGTATACTAAATATATGCTAAACATTATATCTACTTTTGGTTTCTTTTTCTAGTGTATACTGTACTCACTTTTGCTTTAATTTTTTGTAGTGTTTGTTGTTTGTTGTTTCTATTATTGTTTTCATCATTTTTGAAATCACCTTTAAAATCATATTTTGGAATTAATGCGACTTTTTGGTGCAATTGACTTGGGTGTGTCATCATCCATGGTGTGTTTTTAAAGTTCTTTTTGCATTTAAAGAGATGCTTTAGGGCATTATACAAAATTGACATGTCCCTATTATACAACCACAATAGTTAGCAAGTAATTGAATTTTTACAGCAAATTGATCATAACTCTACCTACTGTATATCACAATAACCAAATATTTGACAACAAATCACTATACTAATTATGATAAATATAATATATATTATAAATCCTACCTAAATTACCGATATCTGCAATAGTTAGTGAGTACAGTAATCAAATTTTTTATGGCAAATCTCTATATCAAACACAATTAATCAATACAACCTAACATGTCTCTATCTAAATTACTTACACCACCACATTAGTTAGAAGTACAGTAACCAAATTTTTTTATAGCCAATTACTGCATAAATTATAGTAAATCTAATATAAAACAACATACATAACTCTATCTAAATCAATAGTTTTGCCACAATAGCTAATAGGTATATAACTGAATTTTTCACAGCAAAGCAAAATACCAATTATGATAAACTCCCAACACAAAGCTAACATAACTCTATCTAAATCATTTATGCAACTATAATAGCCAGTAAGTACAGTAATAGAACTTTTTATAGCCAATTATTATACAAATCATGATAAGTCCAATATAAAACTAACATAACTCTACCTAAATCACCTATATAGTCACAATAATTAGTAAGTACAGTAACCAAGCTTTTTATAGTAATCATTATAAAAATTATAATAAGACTAATATAATCTTATTTAAATCACTTATATAATTAGCAGGTATAGTACTAAACTTTTTACGATAATTAATTACAAAACTAATATAATTGTACTCTATATAAATCACTTATATCATCAAAGTAAGTAAGTATATTAACTAAACATTTACAACAAATTACTATAAGTCTATTAAAAAACTAACATAACCTTATCTAAACCATATATGCAACTACAATAGTCTATAAGTATAGTAAAAACTTTTTACAGCACAAATTATAATAAAACTATTACAAAATTAATTTAACTCAATATAAATCACTTACACAACTACAATAGTTACTATCTAAACTTTACTTGAAATTATATATGTACATGCTAAAATACATTGTTATTTTTATTATAATTAATAATTGCAATTTACTCTCAAATTATAGCTATAATTCTATAATTATATAATGCATTCTTAAGAGGTTTGCTAAATATATGCCAACTTTATAGTAAAAATATATAGTATATTGTGAAAATTAAAACATCATAAGTTATGTTTTGACTATAATATTCATAGTCTTCTATATAAATAATATCGAACTCAATTATCTATTTGTAATTTTAAAAGATTAACTTTTGTATTATGCATTCTACATATCTTTGATATTGTTAGGTCTATGTCACTTGCCCTACAACAATTTGTCTGACAGCTATTTTTTAATAATATTCTTAAAAATATTACTAAAAAAATAGCTGTCAGACAAATTGTTGTAGGATGGACCAGATATTGTTAATTAAAGTATAGATAACACTAATAATAATAATAATAATAGATATTTAATAGACTTTTATAGCATTAATAATAGAAATTACTGAAATAGTAAGTTCTGTAACAATATTCACAATAGAAATTATAATAATTTTCAATGTAAACTGAATCACCTTAACAACTTATTGTTATTATCAAAATAGCAAGTTCTGTAAAAATACTTGCAATAGAAATTATAATAATTTTAAAGTAAACTGAATCATCTTAATTACTTATTGTTACAGTATTATCAAAATAGCAAGTAAGTTCTGTACAGAGTTTTTTAGTTACTTATGATAGAAATCATATTTATTTCAATGCAAACTAACTCACATTAATCATATAAATTATAGTCACAGAATAGCAAGATTTGTAACAGAATAATTCACAATAACTTATAATAAATACTATAACAATTTCAATACAAACTATACCAGACTTAACTGTTACTGAATAGTGAGTAAGTTCTGTAATAGATTTTTTTATAGTAACTCACAACAGAAGTACAATAAATTCTATACAAATTATTTCGTTTTAACCACATATTGTTGTCACAGAATAGCAAATAATATTTTTTAAATAGCTAAATTCCTATACAACCTAATTTGCTCACCTTAATCATATATTATAGTCAATAGAATAGCAAGTTTATAACAAAATTATTTACAGTAGTATAAGAATAATAAGTTTATAACAGAATTATTTACAATAGCTTACAATAAAAATTATACAGTCAGACCTCTCTAATTGCACCCTCTCTAAGTGCACACCCTCTCTAAATGCATGCTCAAGTGCCGGCCCAAATATATATTTGATCTCTATAAATGCACCTTTTCTTATTATTCTCTATATGCATGTTATAAAAGTGTGGTCCCAAGGGTGTGCACTTAGAGAGGTCTGACTGTATCATTTCAATGTAAATTAACTAAAATTTAATTGTATATTATAATCACTAGAATAGTAACTAAATTCTGTAACAAAATTTTGTTTGCAGTAGTATGCTATATAATTATAATAATTCTAATTCATATTATTTATAGAAACAGCAAATAAATTCTATAACAGAATTTTCAGTAGCTCATAAATAAATTATATGAATTTGATGAAATTGTATAGATTGCTAATCGCCTGATTGTCATCCAATTGTGTAATTATAAAGTTATATAAAATTTAATATAAATATATAACTTTTATAATTTTGTTAGGTGAAGCAATACTTACTAAAAATTATTTTGTACAATTGCACAATCAGACAACAATCAGATAATTACAAAAGAAAAAAGAAAAATCTATCTTTATCACAAAACAACTATTGAACTCCTGGCTAGATTTTACTAATGCAGTTGTATAGGTCTGCTACAATCTACAAATTTGATCAAAATAGATGATTTTGCAAATTATAAAAAATGCAAACTGACTCATATTAAACACTTGCAGAATAGTGAGTATTTTTCAGTAATAGAATTATTTACATAAATTACAACAATTCTAATGTGAACTAACTTATAGAATAGCAGTTTTGTGATAGAATTTTTTAAGTAACAAATAATAATAGAAATTACAACAATTTCAAATCAAACTAATATATTTTAATTACATATTATGATTACTTGAATAGTAAGTTGGCAACAAATTATTTGTAATAACTTATAATAGAATTCTAATACAAACTAACTAATTTTAATCATATATTAATAGTTACTGAAATAGTAAATAGGCTCTATAATACAATTATTTACAGTAACTCACAGTAGGAATCATGACAATTTTAATGCAAACTAACTTAAACTCAACTATATATTATGTTTACCAGAATAGTAAATAAGTTCTGTAACAGAACATTATTATTTATATTAATTTGAAAAAATATGATAATTCCAATATAACAC